AACATTTACACACATCCAAGAACATTAAGAATGATTTTTAAAAATATTTCAAGAGTTTATTTTTTTCAAATCCCTTGCATCATTTTTTTTCCCCCATAATGCCAGATGGATTAGATATAAAAAATCAAACGGTTTTACGGGCTTTGGAGAAACAAAGCCTTTGGATTTCACAAGCGTGCATCCACTTTTAGAAAGCTGGCTGCCCTTTCCGATACCATAAAGTGAAAATGTGACTGCTAACCAGGAGAGTTGCATATGCGTGTGAAGACAGGTCAGCCCCGATCTGGCTACGTTTGCACAAGTCTTCTCCCTACAGTTCAGCTCCCCACGCTGTGCCGGGATTTCTGCAGCCTTTGTGGAACGGCCAGAGCACAGCAGCAAAACACAGGGGTTGTTTGGGGCAGGGTCTCCTGGAGGAGTGGGGAAAAGGGATTTTTCTCTCCCTACCTTCATTCGTCCTGGTGATCAGCCTGAAGTTCTGCGCTTCTTGCTTGAATTCTTGTTTGCTGATCTTCTTGGTCTGTATCAGATGAAATATCCCTGCAGAGGGAAGCACAGGGCATCAGACTCTGCAACGCTCAATTTAAGGTTCAGACGGGTTTGGATTCACAACTTTCTGTCCCCTCCTGAGATGCAAAAGGGACACAGGCTGCCCTGGATGCCCCGGAGTCCTGGTTCAGTGCAGGACCTGCTGCTGAAGCTTGGTGGGAGTTTGGGACCAAATCCAGGACCAGGAGAAATCTCATTTGCAAACAGTAACTGGTCATTAAATCAGAGCACGGCAGGGACAACACCACAAAGCAGGTCAAAGCAATAAGATTTTGCTGCTCTGCAAAGCATCTCACACTGGAGGAGGTCTGATCTCCCCCAAAACCATAAGAGAAATTCAGGTGGGACGAACAGGCTCCTGGGATCCCCGTCCTCTCTGCTCACTCACGACCACCTATCTTCCCTGACTGCAGAGGTCCCTCCATCCTCAGATGCTTTCCTGGAAGCAGCTGAGGACCAAAGTTTTCCATCCCTCTGCCCCCAGCCCTGAAAAGCCTCCAGGGCAGAGAAAAAACCACGAATGACCTCAACAGAGATTGATATTTCTGTCCACGCCAGCATCGTCCCGAGGTGCCTGACTCAGAGGTTTGACCCAAGAAAACCAGAACCTGCATTTAGCAACGGAAGCGACCTTTCTGCAGGATTAAGGGTTGCGATATGCACATTAGCCTGTGAAGCGTGACAAACCAGGCAGGTATGCCTGGTATATCCTTCCCCACCTCTTACCCAAGCTCCCCGTGCGTCCAGCCTCTCGCTGCCGGCAGATGTGAGAGGCAACGTGGTCCCCCTTATTTGGTTAAGAGACTTTCCCTGATTCCCAGCAGCAATTACACATAAAAAGAGTATGTAACAAATGGGAACCGGCTAGCAATCCATATAAACGAGATGCTGTGGACTGTGGAAAAATTAATACAGGAAGTAAAAGACATCCGGAGAAATATGTGGATATTTGGACTATTAATAAGTCCTATAAGTGGGTCAGGAAAAGAAGTCCTACCAGTAACAAAAGAAGATACTGGATGGAGATAATAAAACTGTTAATGACGCAAGAAAGGCACAAGTGTTCAATAAATCCTTCTGGTCTATACTTAGAAAGGAGCAGGAGGGTGTGCTTATAGTCCCTGTGGCTGATGAAGCACTTTCCAGTACATTAGTAACCAAGAGGATATTTTAAACAAGAGCCACAAGAGATAAACATCTTTTAATCAACCGACCTAGATAATGTTCACCCAAGAGCCCTCGGAGAGCTGGCTGAGACCTTTGGCCCCCCGGATGGTCATTTCTGACAGATGCCAGGAGCTGGGGAGCAGCGGAGGAATGCAGACGGATGCTCCAGCACGCACAAGGAGAGCACGAGACAGCGCAGATAAGAATAACCCACTGCGTCTGCCGTCCGCCGAAGAGGCAATATGGGATGGAGCTGGTAAAAGGTGATGCCATTTCTCATCGAGCAGATCCTGTCCAACAGACGGGATCATTCTTTGGAAAGTTTAGGATGAGATGGAGGGAGGTGGTGGGGCTGTTGGGCACTTAGCACCTTTCTTGGTGCTTTAAAGGGGGCTTATGAGAAAGATGGGGATGGACTTTTTAGCAGGGCCTGCAGCAATAAGCCAAGGGCTCATGGTTTTAAACCAAAAGAGGGGAGAGATTCCCATTAGATATAAGGAAGAAATTTTTTATGATGAGGGTGGTGAAACACTAGAACAGGTTGCCCAGAGAGGTGGTAGATGCCCCATTCCTGGAAACATTCCAGGTCAGGCTGGACAGAGGTCTGAGCAACCTGGTCTAGTTGAAGATGTCCTGGCTCATTGCAGGGGGAGTGGACTAGATGACCTTGAAAGGTCCCTTCCAACCCAAACCGTTCCCTGATTCTATGATTCTATGCTTTAGGCACCACCTCAGGACCAAAAAACAAACAGTTCAGTAGAGCACAAGGAACTAATTAAGGACCAGCCCCATCTCCCAGGGAGCAATTCATCTTTCCTAATTTTGGAGAGACAAGGGCTTTTCCACAGTGCCATTCTACCCATCCTAAAATGGGTGGACAGAAGATACCTTCACTGCTTCTCTCTGCTGATCACGTGGGGAACAAACATGACTTTAAACATGGTACTTAACACTGGGCTGGGCAGTGAAGAGAGTCTAATTCAAGAAACTGGTCTCAGGGTTTGCTAAATCATCTGCAAAACAAAGCCTCAGTGGGTGGATGGAGAAGGGAACATGGGTGCACACGGGTGTATGAGAACCATCCCAGCAGGATGCAACCTTTGACCAGAGCCCCACACTCCGTTTTGGGCTCTGCACTTCAAGACAGACATAGAAACAGTCCAGAGCAGAGCTATGGGAAGGACCAAAGGACCAGAAAATTCTAACATCAAGGAAAGACTGAAAAAAATTCAACTGCTTAAACTGTGTAAGAGAGGACAGTATCAGGAGCTGATGGCATCTTCAAGTGCATCAGAGGAAAGGAGTCTGTTCTTCACACCCATGGTGGAGAGTATGAGAAGGCATGAGCTTGTGCTACAGGAAGGGTGCACATTGGGAAAAGTCTTCCCTTAGGAAGGGGTTTGTGACTCTGGAAGAGATTACATGGGCTGTAGAATCTCCATGGCAGCAGATCTTCAAGCACATGCCAGAAGAGCATGGGGATGGCTGGTCTGGACCCCATAGCCTGGGTGTGAGGGTACACCAGTGTGGTGAAACACTGGGGATCGCTGAAGGTCCCAGAGCTGCAGGTTTTCATGGGAGAAAGGAATATTTTGGTCAATGTCTAATCAACAGCCTGGCCGGGTAAACGTGGAAAAGTGGTCCATGCAGGGACTGCACCTCCAAGTACAGCCCAAGCCTCCAGCGAGGCAGGGTGAAGGGCAGCAGCCAACTACAGAGCCTCCAAACTGTACAGGTCCCTCTCTGATCCTGCCTGTTCCTTTTTTGTCCTCACTCCCAGTGATAATTCCTGCTCCAAAACACCAGAAAATCACATTTCAAAACTCCTGAGGTGTTCAGACCCCTAAAAATGTGGGGAAGCCCCCATGGCCACGCATCTGGGGTCTGGTCATGCACCACCAGCAAGCTGGATAAAGTTTTTGGCTGGGTGTTGGTGCCGGTTTCTCCTCCCAGCTCCTGCCTTGTAGAGGAAACCATCCCAGCACAGAAATAGATGAGGCCACGTAGGTATCATAAGCCCATACAAAGGCAGATGGATGGGCTCCAGGTGTGACTTGCAGCCTCTTTTCTCCACACACACTGCTCTGTTGGTAGAGTGATGGACCATGGAGAGGTGGAATCCATATGTGACTGAGCTCATGCTCTTTCCCAATAGTAACACTTCGCTCTGCCAAGCAAAAGAGCTGTGTTGGCCTCGGGGACAAGGGCCTCCCCTGTCCTTGGCTGGCAGGGCTCGGGAGCTCCGTGCAGACACGAAGCTTTTGGCCTCAGAAGGTGGCGAGAAGGTTTGGGTGGCGACCTCTGCCAAGGAGCGAGGAGAGGAAATGGTGGGGCCCAGACAGTGCAGGCTCACAGCTGTCCTCCAGCTACAAGGTGTCATTGTGAAGGAGGCTTTGCCGAGGTGGGGGGGAGGATGGGGAGAGGGGCACCGTGGAGGATGGAGGATGGCAGGGGAAGGATGGAAACATGGTGGCAGCCAGGGCTCCATCTCTGGAGTTAATTTCTGCGGCTACTATCCACGTGTGTCCACCCTCGGCAGCTGGGAAGAGTTAGCCCCAGGAGGGCTGAGGTCTCCCTAAGGAGTGAGGTGAGACACAAACACACCCAAGAGACCAGAATGTCTGCCTACACATGTCCAGAAGACACCCAGCTACATGGGCTGAGGCTGTATCCATAGGTGGGGTGCAACCAACCTCAAGTGCTCAAGGCACAAGTTTTTGCAAGGGGTAGAGTATGTCCAATGAAGACTCAAGGTTGGGGCACTGAGATGCCTTCAGAGGCCCAAGAGAAACACAACGCAAATATCTACTGGACCAGGAGTTTCTAGTAGAGGTAGGCTCCTCTGGTCCATAAGAGTGTTGCAAAGCTAAAGGTACGGGGACAGAGCACAAGATTGGCGTGATTTCACAGTGTATTTACCATGCTTCGACTTCTAGAGGACACACCAACAGGAGCATCCAAATCCATATATCCAAAAAGTGAGTGGGGGCAATCCATCCCCCCTGTGTGCACCTTTGCAGCAGCTCTGCAAGCTTTGGTCCCAGTGATGGATGGACTGGGGGGCGGGGGGAAGGGAGTAGAGCAAAAGCAAAAAATATGGAATGACCAGAACAATTTTTTGGTTTGTTTTCCATGTGCATTTGGCATGCAAGTGGGCAGGTTTGGAGGAGCAGCCCCAGGGCCCTTCCTTGTTTGCCCATGTGCTGTGCCTCCAGATGGTGTTGGAGCTCGTGGCAGGGTACATTGGGGCCAACAGTGGTTTCCAGCCCCTGGTCTGCATGCAACTGCAGCAAAACAGTGTGAAAGGGGGAGTTAGAAAAGCCAGCTTGCTGTCAGCAGGTTTCAACTCACTACACAGGGTCTGGAGCACCACTAGAAAAGCCTGAAAAATTGAACAAAGCTTGGAAAGCACCAGGTTTCCACACACACCTCCTCCATTCCTGGCTGATTTCGTTATGGGACTCACCTTTAATCAGCTTCCAGTTGTAGATTTCCACCTCTTCTGCAGGCTCCTTCTCGATCGCGATCGTCCTGAGGATCTCCTTGGAGGTCTCTGAGCTCGGCGGCACAAACATGTACACCAGGACGCGGTTGGGGTTCTTGCCACACTGGGTGGTGACTATTTCATCAGTGGGTTTGACTCTGGTTTCTGGGCAAAAACAAGGACAGAATTCATTAAATAGGGGCAGGAAGGAGCTTGGAGGAGGTCATCTCAGTACCCAAGTTGACAGAAAGGCATCTCATTGGGTTTGATGCCATGCAGCACAGCCGCATCTCTGAATGGGACCTTGGCTCCCAGGGTCTGCTCCCCAGTGCTGAGACAGGCAGTGGAGATGTTGATAAAGGATCCATGGACCTGCTCATCCCCATATTTTCCATTCCCCTCGATTTTGGCAGCCTCTATGCCAGCAGGGATGGGGAAGGGGGATTTTCTCCACTTGGATTCCCTGTACCTGCTGCAGGGACCTTGGTGCCATCATCACTGCAAAGCCTGGGCTGGATTACCCACTTCCCATCTCGCTCCCACTGCTGTCCCAGAGGAGCAACGTTAACGAAGTGAAGGGATGAGCCCGCAGCACAGGAGCCAGCGCCGTGGCTGGGCTGCCTGGGCAGCGTGCCTGGTTCAGCCCCACGGGTGGGCTGAGCCCCAGCCCCAAGCCCCCTCCCCGTATGGGGTGCAACAGCAGGGAGACCCACACCAGGGGCACCGGCGGGACCCTATGTGATGTTTTCAACATCCTTGTAAAGGAGAGCTGCTAATTTTTAAAATTTTTTTATGTATCTGGAGTAATTAAGAATCCCCCATGGTTTTGGAAGGAGATTTATTGCCTTTGGTTGTGGTCCTTGGAATGTAGAGGAGCCCAGCTCTGCTGAATTTAGCCTTGTTCTCCCCGTCATTTTGGATGCTGAAGCTTTTTACACTACTCGAAAGAAAGCTTGGCTAAAAATAGACGCGTGGGGTTTATTTTAGTAGGACAGTTATTTTAGGCCTGATTCTGCTCTCCCCCGTGCTTTCTGGGGTGGTCCTGAGCTACTCTTGAGAAGAGGTGGATGAAAATCCCAATTTAAAGGGATGGGAAACAGGGCTTTTTCAGCCACGGGAAGATAAGCATTCAGCTCTGCAGGCTCAGCATGACACGAAGGGGGAAGACCACAGCCCACCACCCTCACCCCTGCCACCATGGGGTCTAGGTGCAGGGAAACTTCCATCCCAGACCCACCCACTTCACCCACTCCAGGGCTGCTCTTTGCATCGACTGAGGCAGCCCAATCTTCATGACAGGGAAGGAACCACACATCCTTGCAGGTACAACAGGTATTTAACAACCTTGGAGCTTCACACTGGAGCCACTCGATGGCCAACAGCATTGGGGAGGAGGAGCAAGGACCCAGGGGTCCTGGCCACAATCTCTGCCTCCAGCAGCTGCAATGGTTTCCCCATCTGACCAATGCATCACAGCAATTCCCCTTCCGTCGGGATCCCTTTTGCAAATAGAAATCGCTCAGCGTTTCTCTCCAAGCTACTGGGTACAAAGGAGGAAGAAGAGGACAGTCATGGAAACTGCCTGGAAAAAGAAGATGGGTGAAACCTCCGTGCAGTGAAACAGAGGACAAGCATGTAACTTGGCTGAGCAAAGTGTATGTGTGTGTGATTGCTATCTATGAGTACTGGAAAGCAAGAAGAAAATCATTTTGGCTGGGTCAGAGTGTTTAACTGGAAATAAATGAAGACTGAACAGCAGACAAGAGATCCCAGCAGAGAAAGTTGTAGACTTTAAACCAGAAAGACCCGCTATAATGGGAATGCAAGACTGGAAGGGCTCTGCTCAGTCATCACATCCCATTCCCACCAGGCACCACATCATAAATCCTGCTCATAAACATATCAGAAACCTTATTAAAACAAGCTGAGCTTCTGCCCTTCACTCCCCCGGGGAGGCCATCCCAGAACCTCCCTGCTCAGAGGCTGGAAAACCTTAAAAATCTCAGCTGAAATTATTTTGCAGCCTATTTGCCCCCATTCTTAAACATAGCAATGCCTCTTGCTTGTTCTCCCCGGTGAGACCGTCTGCACGAAACCACCTTGAAGATGCACATCAGAGGAGATCACCCAGAAACTGCTGCATCCGCAGTCAGGCTCAAAGAGACTCAGGTACCTTTAGTCTCTCTAGGGAAGCAGTGGGTGGTACAACAACTAAATAGCTGCTGCTGAATGATAGTACAGAGAGGTATAACCTAGAAAACATTCTCTGGTGGGAACAGGAGAAGATCTCATGTCCTGCTACATCTTTGCCAGGTCTGTGGTTTCAGGCAAACAGCTTTCCAAAGACCAAGAAGCTGCTGAGAGATCCAAAATCCATTGCACATGAAAAAAAAAAGAGGTCTTCTCCATTATGTTCTAGCCTCAGCACCATTCCAGTTCCACCTGGCCCACCCCAATAAGTTGTGTGCCTAACCCTCCTCTTCCAGGGACGGGGACCTCAGCTCAAACTGAAACAAACCATGAAGGCTACAGATAATCCTGCACCCAAAAAGCATCCTAACCTCAAACCTACATTTCAGCTGCCACAATTTAACCCTATGACTTCTTGTCCCAGCTGACGGCTGGAGAACAGACTGTGCCCTCTCTCCAGAAACCATCTTCTATCTGTCTGAAGACTCTTAGCATGTCCCTCTTTGGGCATCTTTCTCCAGACTACACCCACCCAACAGATACAACATTTTGGGATTGCTGCAGCTTCCTCACCTTGGGTGAGTCCTGCTGCCCTCCAGGAAAGGCCAACGCTTACATCAGTGCTGGCTCTGCTGAACTCACCTGGTGTGAATTCAAGTCACCAGTGATGTGAACACCTACACATCTGCTCTGGGCTTTAAACCAAAGCTAAAGGAAGGAACTGGAAGGCAGCTGCAGGAGCAGGTGGGATGTCACATACCTGGACATATTTTACAGCATTTCCCATCTACTTTCTCTGGATAGTCACATGGATACTCCTTGGGGCACGTGATCTTCTGGCAGTCCTGGACACCGTCTCTGCAAGTGCAGAGGATGCAGGGCAGGAGGCCGTAGAGCCGGAAGACAGGGTGCCACACTTCTCCGTGGGAGTAGGTCTTCCCGTTGTAAACACAAGCTGGAGGAAAGAGAGAGAGAAAAGAGCTGCTGGTGGAAATAAATCTTCCTCCTTTTGTACACCCAAGGCTTGGTGGAGCTCAACACATTTCATCACTTCACAAATGGGTGGCCCCGCTGTCTTGAGGAACATGGTCCTCTGGCAGCACATCCGGCAGCAGCAGACACAGGGATCTTGCAGCCATCCCACCCAGCAGGTGCCATGGGACAGGGAGACCAGCTCCAGGAGATGGAGGCTGCTGGGGTCAACCACCCTGGTGGGAGTGAATGGTAAGTGTGGGCAGGACCTCACATGCCTCCAAGCCTCTGCAAGCCCAGGGTGTCTCCGAGGCTGTCCCAGGCATGAAGCACAGTGAAGAGTGCCACCTGCTGACTCCTCCACGGAAATTTTTGGAGGTCCCAAAATTTCCTCCAGGGCTTCATCTATCTCCAAGGACTGGAAAGAGCCCTTCTGGAGACATAGTGGGGGGAGAGGCCTCAAGAGGAGAAGGGATCTGTCTTTTCTCATTTGGCTCCATGGGGTTGCCTCATCATCTCATTTTCCAACTCTCCCCTCCAGGAGAAAGACCACAGCACTGGGACAGACCAAGCACATGGTAGGTAGGTGCAAGGAGGAACATCCTGTCTCTCTGTGGCACTGTCCTGGACGGACCACATAGAGTCTTCCAGCTGAGCACCTCCCTTCCAAGGTCCCAGATCTCAAAAGCACCCCAAGGACCACCCTTCTTCCAATCCTTTTTGGACTCATGCAGCCATGGGGCTGTGGGCCACCAGTGCTGAGATAGCTGGGTGAGGCTGGCTGTGGAGGAGTGGAAGATGGGACTTGGTGATGGAAAAATGCTGCTGAAACAGATTCCCTGGAGAATTAAAAGTCCTGAAGAAGCCACCTTAGGCCACTTATAGACTGCCCGTCCCTTCCATCCCTTACCTTTCTTGTGCTTCTCTTTCAAGACGATCTTCACAGTGGTGCCACCTCCTCCCTTGGGTTTGAAGCTCCTGGGAATGAACTCCAGGGAAGAACTGAGAACAGTGGATGCAGTGGCTCCGGGTGGCTTCCTGCCCATCGCTTCCCCCAAGCACTGGTCTTGCGAGTGTCTCTGTGCGCAGTCAGAGAAAAGAAGGGGACTCAGACCCAGGCAGTTGGGTTGTTCTCACTCCAAAGCACGCTGGAAAAAGCCATGCAGTGTCCTGCACACCTTCCATCAGGAGTGGAAGGTCCAGAGACCACAGGGATGAGCAATGACCCAGGAGCCATCTTGGTGCCTGCCACCACCTAAGAGGTGCTGAGCAGTTTGTGTCAATGCCCCACACTGATGTCCACCCTACGCTGCAAGTGGGTCACCCTCATTGGGGCAGCACCCTTCTTGTCCCACGTGCAACCCAATGCGCTCAGGTGAGGTCCTACATCTCTAAAACAAGCAGGGAAATGGGCTGGTCTTTTCTAGATGCCTGCTGGGAAACCGAGGACTGGCATCTGTGCAACCCAACCAGGATCAGAGTGGTAAGGACGGGCCGTATCCTGCCCTCTCACCTGGCTGGCACCAGGAGAGTTGGTGTGGGACTGCCAGCCAGCAGGACTGAAATCCCAGGAACATCTGGGCTTCCAAGAGCAAATCGCTGGGACAAGACATACAGCACAAAGGGTCCCCTTGTGCCTATTTTGGTTGTTTTATAGGTGGTGGAGGTGTGATGCTGGCGTTTCACCCAGCAGTATGGAAAAGGGCAGGGCCAGGAGCTGTAAGTGACCTAATCCCACAGACCTGGCATGGGCTGCCCAGCTCTGAAATGTCACCATGAATCAACCCTCGACAGCCAAGGAGTCACTTTTTCCTTGCTGGGGCTGCTGATACAAACAGCCTGGGGAAAGCATGCTGGTGGCCAGCTCCAGCACTGGCTGCTCTGTGGGAGCTATGACTGGGAGGCAGAATGCCTTTAAGCCGAGGGTGGAGAGGAGACACCATCTCCTGAAGCAAAAGCCCCCAAAGAAAGATTTGGGCTATCTGACTGTATGGGTGAGGGTCGCATCTGGCTGTCGGTCACCTCTGAGTCTGCTCGGTCCATGTTCCTCGGCTGTTTTAACCTACTGGCCAACCTCAGCCAGGTTGGCCATCAAGGAGAAGTGCCCAAGATTTCCAATTCCCACAGGTCTTTTGCTCTTCCAAAGACATCAGAGATGCTTCAGAGGAAGAGGACAAGTTTTTCCCTGGTGGTCTGAGATCTCAGCCTATGCTGATAGCCCTCACCTAGAGTCAACGCCAAGACATGATTCATCTGCAAACCAGGTGTCCGTGGTTCTGCTGTCCAAACAACTCACTGCTCTCCTAGAGCTTCTGTGGGTCATTTCTTTGTAGAAGACTATGCCCAAGGACAAATGGCTTTCTTTGAGCTGTTTAACGGGGCTGTGCTAGAAGCAATAATCTGAGTTTTAAAATGCAAATGTCACGTACAACACCTCTGTTTAACTGGAGGGGTTCCTCTTCGGTGGACTTCTCGTATGAGCTATCTGCAAGAAAAAAACATTGTCCTGTGAAATGCTGCGGGGCTGGATGAGGATTTGCTCTCTGGGGTCTAACTGACTAAAAGCAGTTCTCCTCAGGTTGCTGACCTGCAATGTCTGCAGAGAGGCAAGGAAAAG